CAACAGAGAAGCGCCGCATTCATTGCCCCCCCCCCCCCACCCCCCACCCCCCACCCCAAGCACAGGTGGTCGCAACAGAGAAGCGCCGCATTCATTGGCCCCCCCCCCCCCACCCCCCACCCCCACCCCCCTCCCCAACCCCAAGACTCAGATTCGATGACAGTTACACGGCTCCGAGAGAGCCGGCTGCCTTGTTTTTGGGGGTTCAATGGAACCACCAAAACTACCAAACATGAACGGGGGGGGCCAAAAATAACGCAAGAAAAAAAGGAAGAAAAAAAACGCAAGATTCAAAGGCCTCCCCCCCCCACCCCGCTGCCTCTTCCTCTTCCTCCGGCACCTCGCCCTGCGGCAATGCTGCCGCCACCAGGTCCGCCACGCGCCGCTTTTCGATCTCCATCGCACGAGCGTCCCGGAAAGAGTCGCGGGATGGCATGCGCAGGCTATATCAGGGATCCTTACATGAAAAACACTTGAACATTGCAACTTGGAGATGGTGGTTTCCTTTCATTTTGGTGGAAAAAGCCATGTTTCAAACGGTTGCAAAATGGAGATCTTTTGAGGAGCCCTGTATATATAAACATACACTGGTTGATTCGTGTAGCTACACATATACATAGATATAGAATCACATCTAATAATATGTATCTATCAATCTGTTCATCTATCTAGTTGTTCAGCTATCCAGCTGTGAGCCTATTTGTTGCGTTGTACGGACACGAATCTTGACATCCACAGCCTGATGAATCCTTGGTCCAGTATACACAACAGCCATGAACGCCTTCGAGTAAGCATTTAGCACTTGCTACGTCAACGCCACACAAGCCAAGAGGCAGGGCATCAAAGACCCCATGTGCTCCTCTCGTTGATCTGCGGTGTATGCTCTCGTGCCAGCCCGGCGAAGCCAACCTTCTTTGCTGTTGACGACTTGCAGTGGCCATGGAAAGACAAGGGTGCTCTTCTTTGGGGAAGTTCATTTAGGGAAACCCCCTCCGAGAAAAGAAGAAAAAAAAGGAAAAGGGGCACCACTTGGGAGCACGGCACCTTTCAAGAAACTGGGATGCTTTTGTGGATTTGGACCCCAAACATGGAGTTGGATTCTGGTTCTCCTTTACACTTAAAACCACCAAAACAAGGGGTACCAACTCAAAAAAAGACGAAACACCCATTTTAGCTTTGGGTTGGCCCCCAAACAGGTTCCAGAACCTCCCCAGCCGCATCATGGGATTCATTTTTTTCTCCGGCAAGTTGCCAAGGTGCGCTGTACGACACATGCGCGATCCGGTGCCTTCAACATCGGCATGGCCAGAGGTGTCCTTCTGGAAAAAATGCGATGGGTGTCCCTGGTACCTGGACGAAACCAATCTAAACCAGTGCCATCGATGTCTGGCCAAACGAATTTCAAAAGGACACCTATGGTCATGGCGTCTCTCTCTGTCCAACGGTCCAACCCAAAAAAACAGTATCACCTGCGCCGCCTGCGGCGCTTTGCAATTTTCCTCCTGAACACTTGCCCTGTGAGGTGGGTTGCATGGCTTCACCGGAAGGCGCGAAGTGGGCAACTCCACCCTTTGACCACGCCGCGTTCAGCTTGTGCTCTTGAAGCACGCGGCTGGGATGCTGGCGATGCGTTTGCACCGCAAACGTTTCCACGCTGCGGTGTCTTAAAGCCGAGCCCGGATCGGGGCCATGAAAACGCCCCGATCCGAATCATTGGCGCGCAGGTATGGACGTGTTCACTGGCTGCGACCTACAACTCATATCCGTTGCACTTATGCATGTGCATGTATAGGTACTTTGTGTATATGTCTATATATATGTAGGTATATATATGTATATATATATATATGTATGTATATATATATATATGTATGTATAGATGTCTGTGTGTGCGCCGGTATGCTTTTGTTTCACACATCTGCAGCGCTTGGCCGGGCAGGCATGGCCGGCTCGGTCAGACCGAGCTGTGCCGGAGTCCCGGGGATCCAAAAAGCCCGTGTCTTTGGGCTCGAAACGCCCAACTGCCTCGCCTAGTCCCATCCAAAAGAGAAGAAACGTCTCGATACCGAGTGAAACAACCAAAAACACTCCAACTTGAAACTGGCCCATGCCTGATGCAGAGTCACGAGAAACACATCGCAGTCAAATCATCATCCATTTACTCAGCTTTTGCCCCAGCCAAAAACACGTAGCTGATTCCGGCTCAAATTAAGCAATAGGACGCGAAAGTCGAAAGCGACCCCCCCCTGAAACACAAGATCCTCAGGCCCGTTTCATACAGTGGGCCTAGGGAGGGCCTTTTGGGCTTCCCTGGTGAATGGAACAAAATCATACAAGACCCATCTAAACCAGTGGAACCCACCCAGTTTTTAACCAAACTCACCAACCTAAAACTCAGTTGCCCAAAGGACCCAGAACTAAAAGGTTAACCTTTTGGCACCTCTACTAAAAATGAACCAAAAATGGAAAACCAAAAGGTCAAAAGGTCGATTCGCTTTGGACAACTGAGAAAACGGACGCCTACGCTCATCTTTCGCCCCTGGCACCCCGCAGGCCCAGAGGCCCATGCCGGCCGAGGTCTCTCAGGGGCCCACGGAGCCATCGCGCTGCCAGAGCTGGATGGTCCCATTCTCCGCCCCGAGGACGTAGATGCCATCCTGAGGATACGCGATCTTCTGAGGTACCCTGGAAACCAGGGCCTAAAACAAAGGAGGCTTAGTAACTAGTACAAAAGCCAAACAAGTCCATGCGCATATATGTGTGTAGTACTAATGCGTTTATATATTCAAGATGCCCCCGAGCCATTCCACGGATCGTCTTCGAATGCTTCTTTTCCAGGGGGGCTCTTGAAGGAGGCATGTAGCAAGTCCATGCACGTATACGTGTATATGTAAATGATTCAGGCCTGTACATCTCCAACATGCCCCATATCCATTTTTCGCAAACTTAGGGGCGCAAGCTCGCAGGATTCCAAAAAAAAATATCTCTGGCCAAGAACAGGCCCCATGCTACTGTGGATGGACGAAATCCTGCACCACCTAACCAACCATGAGACACCATCGGTTGTTCGTATTTCCACTTGCTTCTGTGGTGCGAAATGGATTTCGTCCATCCACAGCATGTATGGCCCGCGGTTGGGCCAAATTGAGCGGGGCCTGGGCGGTTTGAGCCGCGAGTTGGCGCTGGTGTTGTTTGGCGAGCTTTTCGAAGGTGGCGGGGACAAAAAATAGACTTCCGGCCCCAGAGATTCCTTCCCGTTGGAGGCTGGCTAGGGCGGTTTTCCCTTCACCCTCGGAAGCCCCCCATTTCACAAGAGGTTTGGGTTCAAGCCCATGTGGAGAGCCATTTCTAAACCTGAAAGACCTGCATCAAAGGGCCTTCAGCTCGGTTTCACCTCCGAATCCAGCGATCCAAAAGCTTGCCTAGTTCCTCCTGTAAAGAGGTTTGAATTTGGGTACCAACTTTTTTCTGTAGTCGACTTGGGTAAAAAGAACTCTCCCAACCAAAAACGAAATGGGAGAGAAGGGCACTGGGGGACCCAGCCGCGCTTCCCCCCCCCCACCGGTTTATTTCCCGCGCCAACTTCAGCCCCGGCGGCGTGCCCCGCGCAGCACAGCGTCTGCACCTGGCGGAGGCCCCGCGAAAGTCGAGGCATGGCGAAGCCTACAGGGAACCCTTCCGAGCACCCGAGGTTTTAATTTTCAAGGGAACCAACCCCAGGTGCCCAAAGACTGATGTCCCGCTCATTAAATTAGCCGCCAATTTGGCTTGGGCAACCAGAGGCAAACCTTCAGGTTAAACCAACAAAAAACGGTTCGGGTTAAACAAAAAATAAAAAGACTAGAAAAAAAGGGAAAAAAACGGTTCAAGGACCCTGCCCGTCTCAACCCCAAGGGCTGTAAAAAACTCCATTTCCCCGTCGATCCGTCCGTCGCTCCGGCCCCATGCCTTGGCTCGCTCCAAGGCCTGGCGCAGAGTGGACCCCGCCAGACGGCGAGGAGGGGGGGGGGGGGTGAATTGGGTTGCAGCAGCCGACTCGAAATTTGAGAGCGGAACCCCCCCCCAAAAAAAAACACGGGGAAAAAAAGAAAAGGAAAGAAAGAAGAAGAAAAAAACATAGACCCAAGAACTGTGAAGGGGGCCTAAACATAGGTGTCCGTTGAGGGGAAATAGATGGGTTTCCCTGGTAGGTGATTAAACCACCAGGCATCTATTGTTCTACAAAAACAACCAAAAAGGACACCTATGATCAGCTATCCTTGGATAAGAGCGACCCCTAGGGAGGGCGGGCTGTGGGGAAAACCAGACAACCTATCCCTGGGCAAAACTTAATGCCTGACAAACTGGATAAGAGTGTAATTCATGAACTGGGGGGGCTATGGGGCTATGGGGCTATGGGGCTATCGGGCTACGGGGCTATGGTATGCCAGGAAAAGCCAAGAAGAAGCCCTTACGAAGGCCTTACTTAGGGGGCAAAAAAGGAATGGCCCAGCCTCCACGTAGCCCCCCTTATGAGTCCATGATACCAGGGGCAAAAATGTTGTTTGGTGCCGCCAATTTCATGTAGATGTCCATGAACAGCTCCTCTTCTTGTCGTCCTCCTGTTTTGGAGGGGGGAAGGTGTTTGCTTGTGTTATGTAGGGGGAGGCTCTTGTTTGTTGGTGTTTCTCTTGTAGTGCTTCTTCAGGGTTTTGTTTTCTGTTGGTGTGTCTTCTGTTTTCCTTCCTCTCTCTTTTTGGAGGCGTCAAAAACGCTTGCTACAATCCTAGCGGCCAAAAGGCCGCATCTTGGATTCTTGGATGCGGAAGTGGGAAGTCTGCCCCCAACCCCCCCCCCCCCCCCGAAAGAGTGCTAAGAACCTTACGAGCGCCTGTTTGTTTCCCACACCTACAAAACATTGCAAGCAAGGGAACCAGGCTGAGTTCTGTGGATGGACAAAATGAAGGAAACCCTATGAATACTGGTTAAAAAACAAATATCAACCGCCAAACTTGTGCGAACAGCTTCGCAACCATCCACAGTACGCTTGCCTGACTTGCGCCATACCCAGACCATGGCCCCATTCCCCCCCCCCCGCCCCCCCCCCCCCCACCCCCCGCCAAGCGCCCCCCCCCCCCAGCCCAAAGCCCAAGCGCCCCAAGCGCCGGGCGCGCCTGCCAGTGCTTCTTCAGCACGAAGTTCGGCAGGGTGATGGAGCTCACCTGCCCCTTGGCGTGGCCGCACAGCACCCGCGGCCCGCTCTCCAGGCCCGCCTCGGCGAGGAAGCGGGATGGCCGGTTTTTTGAATGCCGAGCGTGGGGGGGATTTGTTGTATCATAGCGCGCGTCCTTGATTGGGTGTCTTTTTTGGGGTTACCCCACGTTTGGTGGTTTTGGGGCGTGGGAGATTCACACTCCGCCCCCCCCTTTCCACTCCAAAACTGCAAGTTTCAATGGAAACCAACAAGTACCAATCCAAGCCACCGAATAAGTCTTACTTGATGACATGGAACACCCAGCAAAAGTGTCCATTTGCGAGGAGCCTCCAGGAATCACCGGTATGGAGGACGGTGTGGCCAATGCAGCGGGGCATGTGCCAGGCCGTTGCGGACCCAAACTCAAATTGCTTCGAACGCAAACCCCAGAACCATTGCAAAGCTCCGGCCTTCAGTTACCAGCCCGGCTTTTTTTGGTCGTTTTTTTTCTTTCCCCCTCTGCCAGAATGCAGCAAGCACAAAAAAAGCCCCCTGGACCTCTGCGCGTCGCGCGCCTCCGTTTTTTGTTTGTTTCTCTTTTGCGGCGCAGGCAGCGATGCACAGCACGGGGCCCGCAGGCAGCGCGGGCTGCTTGTGCTTCTGCTCCCCGAGAGCGTCGAAGATGCAGATGCTGCCGTCCGCGTACACGACGATCCTCGGGCTGAAGGCTGAACAGGCTGAGGTCGGGGCTGCGGCTGGGTACATAGAAATTTACTCAGTTGCCCAAAGGACCTGGGACAAAAAGGTGATCACCTTTTGGGGCCATGACTTCCTCAAGCGGCGAATCCGGATGACACCGCAGGCCAGCGACATTCCGTCAGAAGGCCTAGAACCAGACACTACAGATGAGTGCACACCATAAAACGAGAACGCCCAATCCTTGGGCTGCAATCCTTGCCTGGCACCTACAAAGCTGCACAAAAAGAAGACCAGAAATGGTCACACACTACGCCGGGAGCACCAGAAGAAGCGCCAGCGACAACAGGATCAAAACTTGCACATATTCGCACTACCCGAAGTGAGCCATGCTGAGAAACGCACCGCGCAAAGACATCGAGGGACACCACCTCCAACCCCGGCTCGCAAAACCCGGTCCTCTGCCGATGTAACGCAGACAACTAAGCGCTGTTCCAGAAAAGGAAGACCTCGCCTGCACGTGGGAATAAGGAGAGGCATCCACGCTGTCCGGTTTCAGCAACACAACCACCACGGAGAGTGGACCACTTGACTCAAGCATCTGAGAAACGAACATTCGCACTGCCATCCACAAACATGCCAAAATGGGACACCCCAAGGGAGAGAGAGTCCCATCTGTAAGTAGCAGGGCAGACCTCCATCACAAAATTCACACAACACTTGCAAGGGCTTAGCTGTGGCAGCACCGTCCTCGGGAAGTCCGAGGATCAACCAGCGGCACAAGTACATGAGCTTTTGCAGGCGGTCGCGTGGCTGTGAAGGTGAAGAAGAGCATGGCTTCTCCATGACGATGCCATTTCTCACCGGACATCGTGGAGCAAGCGGACTCCAGCCAATCCGCCAACCACAAGGCAACATCATCAGGCAGCGAGGTCGAGGCCTGCGCAGCAAGCGTGAGGAGCGACAGGACAAACAACGGCACGAAGTCCTTCAACAGCAAGCTAACGACTGAGGCCTCGGCTGGCCTGATCCCACTGTGCGCGCCCCCCCTAGATGCGGGGTTTGTGGACGCCTCACCCACCATCGGAGGTATGGCGAGGCCACGTGTGGCGCTACCCTAAGCTAAATGCTTGTGAGCCAGACAGCTTTTGGGGCCATGACTAAATATGGAACAAAATTGGAAAACCAAAAGGTCAAAAGGTCGGCTTTGAACAACTGAGTATATATATATATATTATATATATATACACCGAAATATCCGCCTATATAACAGTGAGCAGGGAAACGAGATTGATCCCTGGAACTTTCTGCTTCGGGGAGAAATGGAGGTTTGCAGGTTTCCCTCAGCACTCCCCCAGTATTCCCTTATATTCCCGAAATGTTGCCTCAGTATTCCCCTAGTATTCTCTTAGTATCATTTAGTATTAAATAAGTATGAGTTCATAAGAAAAGACTTCTGAGGGGCCTAAATTGTTGAACCCATTTGGGGCAAGGGCAACAGAGAGGAGTCTGGCAAAAGCGAGGCCAGTCTGGCAATGAACCTCATCGCAGACATTTCTCCCAAGCAGACAAATTGACCCATGGCCCCACCATTGACCGTTGCCCGAGTGGTGGTCCAGAAATGAAAGGACTGGCCCTATTGGTCTCCATATGCCCCCCTTGAGTCTAGAAGGGAACTCCTTATGAGGAAATGTGATTCTAAAGATATCGAAGGTATATAGTGAACCCTGCCAAACAAACTTGGGACCCCCAATATATGTTTCGATGTTCCTCTTCATTACCCTTTTTAACCAACCCAAGAAGGTGTGTTTTTCTTCAAACATCACACCCCACATACCCTCGGTTGCTTTCTGCTCCCCTGCTAAAAGTTTATTTTTTAGCGGTTTAATGGAAAACCCATTAGTTGGCAAAAAGTTAAAGTCCTAACATCCAAGCAACATGCACGAAAGTCCCTAAAATAACTATTGATTCGTAAGTTTCGAATACTATTTGCTTAAGCACCTTGCCAAAAATAAGAATATGTCCAGTGATGAATGGGAAAAAAACTTAGAAACCAACCAAGGGAAAGAAACAAAGAAAAATAACATATGCTTCAGAAACTGGAAGACTATAGCGACCCCAAGCAACGAAGCAAAAAATAGCGCCGCCGAGGCCCCAACAAATCGGTCGAAAAACGAACGCGAACGCGTCCGGGGCGCATGTGACCCTCGAACTGCAGCAGGCCGCTGACGTACTTCCGGGGCTCCAGCTGCTTCACCACCCGCAGCGAGGCCAGCTCCACCTCGATTCAGCTCCCAGAGCATGGGTCCAGGGATCGGGGGGAGGGGGTTGGGGTTTGCACGGAGAGTTCTAGCACTCCGTTTCTCCGTAGAATGCTGAAACCTGAAAGAAAACCAAAAAAAAAGAAAGTCCCACCCCCGGTCCCATTTTTCGAAACCACAAGTTTGTGGGCTTTTGGGAGGCGGGAGCAATACCCCCTACTCCAAATATTCACTTTTTCTAGGGTATTTTTTGGAAAACCTGGCTTTTTCATGGTAAATACCTCCTTTTTTGGAAGAGGGTCGACATGATACCCTGAAAACAGAGGGTATTGGGTGTAGGGGGAGGTTCTTCTTCTTCTTCTCGTTTTAGGGGGGAAGCTCAATGCCGGCTTGGCTGGTGGTTGCCCAGCCCGTGCGTCAAAACCTGTCATCAAAGACCCAAAACCATGAGTCACAAGCCTTAGTTGGGACTGTCCCTCACTTCACTTCTCCGGGTGATTACGGCTCGTCTACGAGTTTACCCATTTTCCAACAGTCATAGAAGTGGACAAGGGGCCTTTCCCCTCCCAAGACCCTCATTCGCGTTCCTGTATCCGAAAACCGCCTGGTTCATTTGGATTCGGATCCTCGAAAAACGCCCAAGAAGATCCTTTCGGAGTCAAGGAACGCCTCCCACACCTGGTCCAGAAAATCATATGGGTATGGGTAAAAATAAAACCACCAGGAAATGGACCGCAGGTTTGAGTCCTTGTTTCCATTTAGCAGGGCAACCCATTTCGGTACATACTGTTGACCCACAGTCATGTGTTCAGAGTCGGTTTCGTACGATTGGGGTAGGGCTTTGGGGGTCGGCCTTTACAAGCACAGGACGCAGCGCCACCCCGGTTTGCACCAGTGCGATTTCGCAGTCGCAACTCCCTTTCCGAGGGAGTTGCGGGGGATGAAACCCAAATTATGGTCGTTCGTTCGTTGAAGGGGCTGAGATCATCCGTGTGTTTTTTGGGGTTTAGGGGACCTCCAAAAGCAGGGTCTCATTTTTCGATTCCCCAAGCTTCACACAGGGGCCTATTTCCCCCAATTCTCAAAAAGGTGGTTTCCTGTGGAATCCCCTCTTCAAAACGTTCCCCCCCCCCCCCGAAAAAATAAAAAATAAAAATAATGATACACTCAATCCAGTGAGGCTCCCCGAAATTTCGCTTTCGACCGAGGCGCCAACGCCACCCCCGAGGTGCCGCCCACCCAGAGGCCCTCCCCGAGCACCGCCAGCGAGGTGACGCTGCCGGAGATGCCCTCGGAGATGCTGTGGGTGCCTCGGAGTGCGAAGTCGCAGTCTCTGGCACTTCGGATTCGGATTAAACACACACACACACACACATTGATGTATATACATATGTGTATACATGGTTATTTACGTGTGTATGCATGTCGCAGCCTCTTGCACAACCAATGAATCTAGGGGTACCTTCGAGTGCACCCTGGGCCAAAAAAGGCGAGCAGAGGTGTCCTTTTTGGTGGTGGTTGAAAAATAGACCCCATTCTTCCCAGGGATCCTTGTTTCTAAACGACCACCCAAAACCCTGGGGAAACAGCGGGTTTTTGAGAAGAACGATGGTTGAAAAGAATGGAAATGGAATCAACCCCTGGAAAGATCGTTGCTTTGCAGCTTCGGAGTCGGATTAAACACACACTTGTGTGCATGTATATATATATATATATGTGTGTGTGTGTGCATACACACACACACATATATATATATATATATATATACGTGTGTATGTGTGTTCCCGGTTTCTTGGAGGTTACCTCTGGCGGTGCTCTGCAATGGGTGATTGATGTTGAAAACCGGTGTGGGGTCAAAAGACGAAGGGTTTTTCACACATGCCCGGCCTCTGTAAACATAGCCTGGCCGAGATCCACTCGGGGCTCCATGTTTTTGAGGCACAGCCATTTCCCAAAATGGCTGGGCCTTCCGCCTTTGAGTTCGGCGCGTATCCCGGACCTCCCAACCCCCACACCTATTCCCGGACCTCCAGTGCTTCCTCGATTTCCTCCTGTTTTTTCCTGCAGGGGAACCCCCAAGTAGCACAGAAAGAGAGCCGATGTCTTCTTCTCATGGGCCGTCTCAAATTTGGGGAAGCGGGCCTTCCTTTTGGTTTCCGGGCCCCGCATGATCTTGGTGTCCCTAAACGTCACCAATATTCACCAGTCACCAGTGTACAGTCACTATAAAGGCCAAAAAGCCCGCGCTGCAGCTCTGTACTTTTGAGCCATGCCCAGACTCGTGGGATTCGTTTCGGCTGGACACCCTTGCCCACATAGGTGTCCTTTTAGGTGAAATAGATGGCCCTGGTGATTAAACCACCAGGTAACTAGGCTGGAATTAGGACCCCAGCACAGAATTCTTTTTTGCCTGGTTACTGGAAAACAAAGGGACCCCAAAAAAGTCCAAAAACTCCAAAAAGGGAGCTAATTCCGGGGAAGGTAGCACCAGTGCCATCCATTCTTCCCTTAAAACTCCAAGGATTGGGGAAGTTCTCATCTTTTACAGACAAAGAAAGCCCATGTTACCCCCAAAAAGTTACGAACAGTTTCGTGTTTTTAAGATAAACCAGTGCCATCGATTTTTGAACCGAAACCACCAAAAATTGGGCACGCCTCCGCTCGCCTTTTTTGGAGGGCGCCAGGGCGCACTCGAAGGTGGAGGTGTGGGCGTTCAGCTGCCAGCACCGCACGGAGCCATCGGAGGCCCCGGAGAGGAGCACGTGCTGGTGCCTCAGATGGGTGTGGCTCAAAATTAAACGATCGGAGGGGCAAACCGCAGGTTTTGGTTCATGCTTCCACTCACCAAGGTTCCATTTGTGTACCAGATGAGTAAAATCAAAACCCGGACCATGACCCTGCAAAAGTCTGACGTGGTTGCGTAAGTGCACCCCCAGGGCTGTTCAGTGTGACGCCGAACAACAGGGATCTGGTAGGATACACTTGAAAAGTCTGCCTTTACTAAATCAGTCCAAGTGAGTCGCAATCAAAACCTGGCACTAAAATGGTCGACCCAGAGCCAGGCTTCAATAATTAAGAAGGAGGCCGCAGCTATGGCTGGGATGGCCCCTTACTAACCTTCATCCATCGAAGTCGATCGAGTCTCAGTGAGGGTGGGACCTCCATTTCCCGCCCTTTTCACTTCTTGAGTGAGTAAATGCCAGAAAAAGATCGATCGGGGAACCGTAGGCATCGGATCGGAGTCGTCAAGGGCGGGAAAATCCCCATGCCCCCCCACCGTTGTTTTTGTTGTTTCCTCCCCCGCCCCTGGAATGAGTAAAGCCAGGAAAAAGCCAGGCCGAACTTTCTGTTTACCACTAAAATTGTGTTTTTGGGGTGTTTTTGTGTTTTTTTTGGTCCGCTTCCGTGGAAAATGTGTAAAGCCAGGAAAAAGGCCAGGCCAAACTTTCTGTTTACCACTAAAATTGGGTTTTTTTTCGGTGCTTTTTTTCTCCCGCCGCTGGAATGAGTAAAGCCAGGAAAAAAGGCCAGGCCGAACTTCCTGCTTCCGAAGAAGAAGCCTCAAAGTGGAGCTCAAGACGTGAGCTTGGAAACCTCCCAAGTGGCAGTTTCAGCAAGACCCCCGCCAGTAAAAAAAGCAACGTTTGCGGCGGAGAGCCGGGGTGGTTTCCCGTCACTTCCCCCCTTTCAGCTTCCTGCCAATTGGTGGACTGCTTGAAAACCCCCATTTTACCCCCTACGAAAACCAGGGCTTCAAAAATCCAAATCCAAATCCAAACCAAACCATTAACTGAGAGTTACCGGAAAGGGAAAAACATCCAATACAAGTTCAGATCCTTTGTCGATTCGCTGAGTGAGGATCATGAGCGCCCGACTTGCCCAAGAAACCACCGAAGGGACATCTGAGGGTCTTTAGGTCCTGGTTGCGTGGTTTTCCATCGCGGCGTCAAATCCAAATCAAGCCATGGGTTGCCCCGGCCCAATTCTCTTGCAAAAAAGGGTGCAAGAGGTGTCCAGAAATAGAAAAAACATTAAAATTGAAAACAAGCCACGAGTTCTTCTAAAATTCTTTCGGACTGACTCACCAGTGACTTGCCTTTTCTTTCGGACACCAACTAACTAGTGACTTGCTCACTTCCTCCCTTCTGACTTGGGGAGTGGATCCTGGATTCCGCATCTGGATCACTCAGCTGGTACGGGGCAACTGCCCTGCCCAGTTGACTGACCAGAAATGCTTGCAAGTCAAAAGGCCAACTAAGTTATTTCAAACAAACCCTGGCGATTTTGAAGCCACCCGGTTCCCAAGAACCAACCCGTTTTGACTCCTTCAATCCGGTTCCCAGGTGGCAATTCGAAGAGCCCTGGGATCC